TTTACTGCGATTTAAATTTTGTACATCTGAGGATGGCCAAAACTCGAGGCCCAAATATGTCATGATTAATGTATTATTCAACGCATTACATAATTTTATTAATGTTTAATTTTTATGTTAATTTTTTTTATACGATTATGTCAATATATTTGAGTTGATTTAATTTTTAATTTTAGATGTTTGACTTTTATTAACCTTTTACTCTTATTAACCTATTTATTATATTTTGTGTGAATACTAAGAATCCTTTACTTATATATTTAATATTTATTAGGATTAAAATTCCTCTATAACTCTATTAATATTTTTTTATCTTCATATCACGCGATCTATTAAAATTTTGATGCCTTGCAAATTCAATATTTCTATAAAATATTTAACATAATATTGAAACATTGTTTACATTTTTTAATAAAAAAAGATGTGTATTATCAAGACATCACTAAATCACTTTACTCTCAGACACGTTACACACATTTTATAGGAGAAACTTAAATTTTTAATTTAATGTGCAGTTAACATATAATCTAAAAATGAATCTTTTTTTTTCTCAAAATCATCTTTTTCAATCAATTCAATTGCAGTAAGTTGACAACAAATCAAAAAATCTATTCGACCTATTAACTTGGTGTAAATTACATTTTGTTCAAAAAACTTACTTCTATCGCCGGATGTATACGTTTTTTAATTAATAAAAATTTCACAATTTTGTTATTTTCCTATAACCGGCTATATTCATTTTTTACTATTATAATTTTTTATTTTTTTGTTTCATACAGCGCATATACTCGATTTGTTGTCAACGAGGCAAAAGTAATTGTTCAAAGTTACCCTCCCAGTATCTAAGAATGGATTGAAATGGATTAAAATGGATTCAGATTTTCAGAAATACGGATTCATGAATGTTAAAATGAATTCTTTTCAATCCAAATACGTTTTCATTCATTTATAGGAATTGCATGGAGTATATCTATATACCTTTCAATCAAAAAATATCAGCTTTTTCAGTGCGTTTGTGACCATAGTGAATACTGTACAATTCGAAATTTTGAATAGGAAACGCAGTTTTTCAATCCAGATGCATCTAATTGAATCTAATTGAATCTAATTGAATCTAATTGAATCCAATTGAATCCAAAAAAGTTTTCGCTGTTTAAAATACGAATTCGAATAGACGAAAATGTCCAATCCATTTTAATCCATTCTCGGATGCTGAGCTTTGTACAACTGCCGTTATATGTATAAGTAATCGAGACAAAAAATTTTCTTACGTACCTCAGTATTGATAAAAACGCCTTGAAGTAAAATTACATGATTTTATTATATATTTTTCAAAATTCCCAAAGGACTTCCGGTTTTCCAGACCTTCACCCTGTCTATAGTTAGTCCTTAAATAGGTTTCCGTTGCTTGCTTGATTTCTGGAAAAAATATGTTTACATTTGATATAATCATAGAAAGATCATTATTTCTAACGAATTGTTTTATTTTTAAATCACTTGTTTACTGTACACTTCATATTTTTGCAGTTTAATCATTGTTACATTATTAATATTTTAAATTGAACTTGTCAGTTTCGTATTCACTCAACGTTCATTTAAAATAGAAATAATTATAAAAACCCTACAGAAATTGGCAAAATTGAATCATTGTGCACAGGAAAAACAATCTTGCTGAAGAATCTAAAAATTTATCTAGATGCAGATATCTGAAAGTACATACATGTATTATGATTCCTACAAAATTATTTTCAGGTCTACATATAGCTAAACTCTTAATCGAATGTTAATGATATCGTTATTTCTTCATCAAGAGCACTTTAGTTCATTAGTTTTCTCTGTCAAAAGTTTTGCCTTCTTAGTCTTCAATTCTTTTATTTTCCCTGACAAGTGTGCAAATTCCCTGACTTTTCCTAACTTCCCTAACGCATTTTTTTTAAGCCCTAACATTTCCCTGACTTCCCTGACTTGTGGCAACTCTAAGGAATCATAATACATGTATATACTTTCAGATATCTGTGCATCTAGATAAATTTTTAGATTCTTCAGCAAAATTGTTTTTCTTGTGCACGATGATCCTATTTAATCTTGGATAAATATTTGGAAATAGGATTAAAGATCAATAAATGCGTATCTTATTTAGGATATGCAGTATTAAAATATAATTCTTTATTTTTATGTCACACATGTGTGTTCATTGTGTTTTGTATCAATTCAAATCCAATTTGATATCCTATATTAATTTTTAAAAAATTCTGTGAAAGACTTTGTATTTTAAAATTTACAATATTTTATTTATATATAAAACTTCATTTTTTATTTCTTCATTATTTATTTAATCAACTTTAATTTAAAAACTAAATATTTCAACAATTTTTTCTGATTTTCTCTCCCATATATTTATTAAAATTCTACTTTAAGTATAAAAATCTTTTTTCTATTTATTGTCTATATAAAGAAAGGAAACTTTGATATTCTTTTAAATTTAATAATTTAATTATTTATAATAAGTGTGAAACAAATAATAATTCAATAAAATTATCAATATTCAATAAAATTAATAATATATTAATAAAATTAATCTTTATTAATTCAAATTTAAAGTCCTTATTTTATTCATTTTAATATATATTTATAACTAAGTGGTCATTTTTTAAACTCTATTTCATTTTCTGTCTTTGTATACTGAGTAATAATTAAAGTCATAATTAATTGAAGATGATTAAAGTAATAATTAAATAATTAATCCTAAGTATTTTGAAAGTTTATTTTTATGAAAACAATTTTGAAAAATGTATATTTTAATAAACATGTAATTGAAAAATTGTTAAAATATTCAATGTGTATAGAAATTATTTTTTAATTTATTAATTATTTTGAATATTTTTTATTTGGATCTTACGTTTGTATGTTACAGAATCATTGTAACAATGCTGAAAAATCCACTCCATGTGTAATAATTAATTGAAGATGATTAAAGTAATAACTAAATAATTAATCCTAAATATTTTAAAAGTTTATTTTTATGAAGACAATTTTGAAAAATGTATAATTATTTTAATGAATATGTAATTGAAAAATTATTAAAATATTCAATGTGTATAAATTATTTTTTAATTTATTGAATTATTTTGAAGATTTTTAATTTGGATCTTAAGTTTGTATGTTACAGAACCATCGTACATACAATGCTGAAAAATCCACTCCAATGCATCAGTCGGTGAGTTATAAATAAAACTTTATTACTAATGAGGTAACAATTATTACATTAGAAATAAATATAACGTTTCATAGTTCCATTATTTAAAAATGGATAAGCTATAAAGAATTATGATACATATTTAATCTTGGATTTATCTATTGCTACATGTCAATTCGATGCATTATTGAGCTTGTGTTATATTATATTTATATTCAAACTCAATAATACATCGAATTGATATGTAGCGATAAATAAATCCAAGATTAAATATGTATCATAATTCTTTATAGTTCATTTATTTTAAAATAATGGAACTATGAAACGTTATATTTATTTCTAATGTAATACTTGTTACCTCATTAGTAATAAAATTTTATTTATCACTCACACCAACTGATGCGTTGGAGTGGATTTTTCAGCATTGTATGTACGATGGTTCTGTAACATACAAACTTAAGATCTAAATTAAAAATGTTCAAAATAATTCAATAAATTAAAAAATAATCTATACACATTGAATATTTTAATAATTGTTCAATTACATATTCATTAAAATAATTATATATTTTTCAAAATTGTCTTCATAAAAATAAACTTTTAAAATATTTAGGATTAATTATTTAGTTATTACTTTAATCATCTTCAATTAATTATTATTACTTTTAATCATGGATATAAAATAACTTAATAGGACTAATTTTGTTATGCATGCTAGCAATAAACCTACTCACTGCAAGGTTGTTCCATCGGCGTCCGATTATGCTTTTCTTATATATGTCTTCCTCTCCTTGCACAAAGTTGTCCCAAGCCAACTTCTCTATCTCTCTTCTCCTCCCATTACTTTGCGTAGACATTTGTCAGTGGAAGCAAATCGTTTGTTGAAATTAAATGCGCGTTCTTCTCTGCAATAAACGACAAATGTATTATAGGTTTAAGTTTCAATTATTATTCCGCGAATGAAACGTGTATGATCGAAAAATAGAGAAGTGGCGTCGTTTTCCGCGTGCGACTTCACACGTAACAAAAAGCGACGCGACTTATTTATCTTGATTTTCGAGCAAACGAGTAAAAATGTTTCAAAGGTGATTGTTCTTAAAATATTTCTCGCGTCGCATGTCAAAATTTTAATAATTTAATATAATAATTATTAGATAATTACCTCGTTGGTAAATAATTCCGCGTCATTCTCGTTTTATTCTCTGCAAAGATGAGGATACTTCAGGAAATCAGGACGCGTCCAACGTGATATATGACAGGATACACACCCGTCCCCTGACCCGCGGCTGACCGACTGGCGACTCGCAACAACCCGCAACAACTTGCACAAACCTGCATGAGCGTGAAACCGCGAGTTACGCGATATTTGTATGCTCCGATCAGACTTGAACCCCCACCACTCGCAGTCAGCCAATGAGCGCAATGCGGCGCGATGCTCTGCTACAAGCGCGTATTCAAGCGCTGATTTGATCAGATTTGATCACCGCTAGATTTCTATTGAAGTATATAAAGCGCGACGCGCCAAATTTTCAGTATTTTCAGATTTTGATACTGTGTGGTTCTTGAGGACAGAGGAGTTGGCATATGTCCACGTTTTGTGGACGTAGAGGCGCTTCAAAATAAAGTAACAGCTATAAATCCCGGGTATGGCCGCTCTCAGGCTTCTCTGTTCTCTCGGGTATCGTATTAGTATCATCAAAAGCGCACGAAAAACATTAGAAATTAGTGTACCACGAAGGAGCATGATGGCGATACTATCGCGAACGGCTGTGAGTTGAACTTTGCATGGCAGTAATCACACGATTTTGCACTTTCGAGTAGATTGGAATTGGAGTAGATGTTCGCGCTCGAAATTATTTTGCACACATAAAGTTATTTCGCACGTGCGAAAAAGTATTATGATTGAAGTCACGAATCAGAATTTTAACAACGTGTATCCGCATCTAGAGCACACGTTGAAAAATGCTAGCTTCATAGCGATTGACGGGGAATTTACAGGCATAGAAGGCGATGATGTAAAAAATAGGTTAGTTTGTCCTGCCGGGAACGCGTATTCGAATAAGGTTTTGATGGATATTGATGATAATACTTGGTATTTATAACATTGTAGCTTGTTCGATTCCGTACATGAACGCTATGAAAAGAACAGGAACCACATTCAGCCGTACATAATAATTCAATTTGGTATTTCGGCGTTTCAACGAGTTCACGATGAGAATGAATACACTGCGGAGGCTTTTAACTTCTTCCTGCTGCCTAGATCTATACCGTCAAAGAATAGACATTTTCTTTGGCAGATAATATCGCTAGAGTTCCTCACTATGTATGGATTTGATTTTAATAAAGTATATATGCGTTCCATATATATTTGTTACAGATATTAGCATATTTCTTACTAGTAATTCATTTCGTAATAACAAGCTGATGTTATATGTTGTCATTTTGATGCCAAAATGATAATAAATAACATTAACTTGCTGTCTAAATTAAAATCATAAATCATATCTGATTGTTTTATTTAGTAAGAAAAAATATATATTTGAACATTTTTCAGCTTGCCTATCAAGGTATTTCATACATTGATCAGGTCGACAGAGCAGTCTTGCAGCAACAAATACAGGAAAATACATTGTTCAACAATGTGGAGCAATCTATTTCATACAAGGAGGAAGAAGATTTTAGAAATACAATGACTGAAATATTTACATGGCTAAACACAGCTAGTGACGAAGTAGATTCTTTTAAAATTGAATCCCCTACTCCAACTTTGCAATATTTTATGCATAAGGAATTGAGAAAACGTTTCTCAAATATTTGGACCTTCTCTGGGAACAATATGGTATGATCATGCTATTCTTTAGGAGATAAAGACTCAAATCTGTTTTCAAAATTTTTATTACTTTGTAGGTTACTGTGATTAAAGTACCACCACAATCGAGAAAAATTCTAGAACAGGAAGAAGGCTCTATATTAGAAAATGTATTGCTCGAGTCATACATAGGTTTTTCAAAAGTATTCAATCTCTTGGTTACTTTGAAAAAACCTATAATTGGACATAATCTTTTTTTAGACTTCATGTTCATGCATCAACAATTTTACAAGCCCTTACCAAGTATGTATTACAATTTAATTGTGTAATAACAGTAAATTTATTTTTTAACTTTTTTATTCACAATATATACTATGGAGATGAAAATTAAATCTTAATTATGGATGTAATATGTATTTTTTACAGAAAAATATATTAATTTTAAGAATAACGTACATCAACTGTTTCCAACAATTTACGACACCAAATTTTTAAGTTTTGAACTGAAAAGAGTTCTCGAATCACCAGGTAATTATTTAATATTTATTTATTGATTTATATAAACATTATATATAAACATATTAAGTATATTTTATTTCTTTTCAGAAAAGTGGAAACAAAATACTTTAAGTGGCTTAATTGATTATTTTGTAGAAAGTCAAGGAAAATATACAGTGCCAGGATCGCCTATTGTTAAACTTGCAACAGATTCAGACGAATTAAATAGTAGATAGTTTTATATTCCTTGATTTAGTTTAATGTCACAATTAATTTATAAGATATATTCTTTAACTTTTATAGATTCTCCTAAGAAATATCATACCGCAGGATGGGATGCTTACTTTGCCGGTTATTTATTTATTAGAATGGCTCATGTATTTGCTACAAAGCACTATGGACAGTAAGTTATTGATTGTTATATAATTGAAAAGCAACAATTATTGAGAAATAGAAAATAAAGGCTCAACAATTATTTATTTCTGCTCTTATAAGCATACATATTATATTCTGTTTTATGTATAATTTTAGAGGTTTAAACTCAAAAGAGTTTACACATACAGAATTGATGAATAGCATAAAAACTTTTGCAAATTGTGTAAATATCATACGTGGCAATACGTCATATTTGGTAAGAAAAATATGAAATTATTTTTTATTTTCCAAAAAGAATAGTCAACTATATACTATTTTTTAAAATAAACAACTTTTTCTAGAGATTTGATGGACCTGAACCTAAATCGACTCGACCAAAATGGCTTTATGTGAAAATGTTGTCCTCAAAACCAATAACTCCCGTACAGGTATTACATTTAATTATTGTATATAATGTTGATATTGTATGCAATGAAAATTTATTCAAAGCTTTGGGATCTCAATTCGTAATTGGAACATATATGACTTGATGATTGTGGGATATTTTTTTAGGCTATATTCTAAAAAATGTCTTCTCATGAAAACTTGATATAATATATACGTTACGTATATTTTAAGTAAAAGTTTTCTTTCTTAGAGAGGACGTTTTGGTATATAGCCCTAACTTTGTAGTGTAATTTGGAATAATTGTATGCTTTACAATCTCGCATTTTTCGCAGTTTTGTTCTGTTTATACTGTAAGTCTTGTAATATACTTACGCTAAATCAAATATTGCAAATTTTTTCTTTAAAAAACAACTAATAAAAAATTTTAATGGGTCCCAAGGATGTTTTCTAGCGTCATATAAAATGTGTTTTTTTTTTTGCGAGTTAAATATTTACTTTGTATATCGCTATATACATGCGATATGTGTATAAAGTGAATAATTTGTAACCAGTTTGTATTGTTGATATATTTGCTCAGGTAGCTGAAAAAATGTCGAGGTTTGGCATGGTTGACGTGAAACCATATACACCAAAAGGCATGTTAGTCGCAGTAGCAAATTACGGAAGGTTAGTAATCTATATTTTTTAAACCTCTCTTATATTTAAAATATTTTCTCATTTATGTTCTATAATACATTATACATATATAAATAACGAGAAGCATTACATAAATTTTAAATGTAATAAGAAATAGGACGCAACTTTACACTTATAGTGAAAAAGCGATTGCTGCCAACTGCGTCCAATTTCGAGATATATGTGAAAATATGACAACGCGGTTTGCGAAGGATTCTAAGAAATTAAATCTTTAACTTTTTGATAGAGGCTGAAACTATCTTTGGTTTTATTCTTCTATATATTAGATAAATACGGATATTAAATATATTGTTGTACAAAAGTAGGAAAATTATAATAGTATGAAGCTTTCTATTTTGAATATTCTTCAAGGGCAGCTGTATATATATTCATCAATGCACCGTACAAAATGTGACTTTAATGTGCCTTTTAATCCATTTTTTTCATAGAAAGCAATTTACATATACTACAGTACAAAACTCACACATTGTTTCTTTTTTTGCAGACAGGATAAATTAGAGACCGATCTTACTTAAATATTTAGAATGTAGTGGATAAGACATTGATATAACTTTCTAAGCAATTTAGTATTTAAAAAACTAAATATCATTTTTTAATTGTTATAAAATTAAAAATATTAATAAGCTCAAATGTTTATTTTAATATTTCTGAAGACGTGATAATTATTTTTATTTATAAAAATAAATTATTGAGAGTTATAAGAGTTTATACATATATTTATTAAAATTAGAGAGATTGGATATAAAATCCAATCTAATTTTAATAAATATATCTATAGACTCTTAATAACTCTCAATAATTTATTTTATGATTAAGGTGATCGATTTATTTATTTGATTGGCGTGTTACTTTGAATTATTACAGTGCTTCGTAATGTCGAATCGCAATACGATCAAAGTTTATTTCTCCGGTCTAGTTGTACGATCGATCGATCAACTGCACGCGCTTGTCTAATAGTCTGAAAACACAAACCGATAAATATATCATTAATTCAGTAAATCTACTACAATTCACTTGTTTTATGAGGAGGCGCGTATTAAGATCGTCGACAAACATGTCGTGATAACTTAACAAAGTTATGTTACCTCACGACCTTATTTGTGCTGTAAGTATTCGCGCAGTACACCTTTGTCAGTTTTGTTTTTTTTTCTTTTGATGAAATAAGATAATACATATTTTATATGCTGCAGTATTCACTGATCTATCACCACGGATTATGTATTTGCTAAATTGTACGTTCTGTTATCAGTCTTATTGAGTAATTTTGTTTCCCTATCGCCAAACGATTTGATAAGAAAATATTGCAATATTTACTTACACGTTTCTACACAGAAGATAATACAGAAGACTCTTCTTCGTTGAAATAAAAGAATAAATTATCTTATGAATTATTGCAAGAAACAAATGAACGATTTTTATGAAACTTTTCCAAATATTCATATAACAGATAATTGACTCGATGCCGTCATATTGTACGCGTAAGATTTTCTCCGTCATTGGCACTGTTCCCGTCTTTATGTCGCTTTTACCAACGAACTTTTGCAGATATATTTACAGAGCTTATTAAAAGACCGCCACTGTCTACACCACCGTGTACATTATTATTAACGGTCTATTATTACACTTGATGTTGCCACAACTTTTGTCACGCGAAATTGGCTTAACGCGTTATTACGTTTATCTTGTCGCGCGGGACGATCGAGATTGTTGGACATGTTCTTGTTTGTGACGCAATGATCAAAAGTGATTTCCTTAATTGTTTTACAGCGCACGAGACATATTACTACATTTCAAGCAAAACAACGAACTGCACGTAGTCCCTTATAATCCGATACGACATTCACCCTCGATTCAACTTATCCTATGGTACGTATAAGAATTGATAATTAATCAAATTGTTCTACACAGACACAGCATGATAATTTGGCATGCATCCCGTTAACAAATGGTCTTTCGAAATCAGACGCGTGAAATAAACGTATCAGCCTGTTCAACTTATTTGAAGAAATTCATGCAATTATTTTTGTTTATTGGCATTTACGATGTTATATTTGCAAGAGATTTTGATTATCGGTATTAATTGCCTCACAATTCGCTTATAGTAATCATATTCTACTTTTAAAGTGTCTTAAAAGCATCGCTACTTTTTTCAAATAACTAGACCTGTCCAATAAAATGCTTCTTTTTTTATTTATTCCACGTATGATCTTTACATATCAAAGCGAAGGATTAAAATTGATATTTCAAAGTTAAATATATTTAAAAAATAGTTACAATTCTTTTTTTATTTAAGTACACTTCTATGTCTTGAAATGACACTTGGTAGCTTGTTTAGTCAATGCAAAAGTGGCTGTAAGAATCAAATATTGACCGTCCATGACTGAACTAAATAGATGATTTTGGATTGTGATTTCAATCAGTAGCCGCAACGCGTTAAGGTCGATTCCTATAAGTGGCGGAACGCCACTGATAGAACGTATTACGTCAAACATATTAATGGCTCCCAATTGGGCTGCGTTTGCGAAGTCTGTAATTAGTGTCGACATTGCCATAGATGCAGAAGCCGCAACTCGCGTTGCCAATTGTTGCGAAGGCATTAATGAACGATCTGGTTGATCGTTACGTTACCTAACGCTTGTGGGTAAAAAATTCGTGTTCCTTGTTTTCCTAGCTATCTCATTTCACATGATCGATATATCAATCCGCGCTCGTCATTACCGCGTTCTGAGCGAAATGAAAATATTATATTTAGTCCGCCGTTTCATTTGCATTCACTTTCATATTCTGTATAATGTTCTATAAATTTATATAGAGACTCGAGTATTTTCATGATGATTTTCTTGATTTTTTTCCGTGATTGCTTATCAAATATTCAACTTTATAGTCTACGAGTATAGTAATACGAATTTTCTTCGAATAAGGTATATGTAAATTAAAATTAAATTTTTTTCAAAAAATACTATGATTATACAGAATTATTTGTATAAATTTAAATGTATTTTATTTATTAATATTTTATTGTTATATACATATAATTACGCAATGTATGTTAATATAATATAATCGACTGTTCTTTTTAACTACAGGGGCAGTTTAGTCGTTTCTGGCGGGATCTTCGCATGGGTATTGCATCAAAAATTTCAGAGAAGCTCTTAAACGGACTGTAAATATCTCGAAAATATAGCAAAGAATCTAAAGTTTTACATTACATACAGTGGCGTACAAAGTTTCCGATCAATAATATTTTGTATTTTAATTTATGTGTAATTTACGTGTAAATTATGTGCCACTGTGTGTGTGTGTGTATATAATATTGTTTATATATCTGACTCTATTTGAGTTTAAAAAAAGATATGCGTTAAAGAATATAATACATAGGATTTAAAAGTTAAAATAAGATACTTTTTTGTAATAACAATAAAAGATAAAGTATCTAGTAACCCATAGTTATTCTAAACGATGTCTTTTTATTTGCAGTCCAGAACTTCTAAGAACATCGATTTCAGGTGAACGAATCTGTCGCCGAAATTAAAATTGACGGCTCTGAAATACTGCGTACAAAAAGTCATTTGTAACATGAACAACAAGGTTATTTGTCGTTCTGTAGAGTTAAGAGAGCGGAACACAGGGCGGTACGGGACTAAGATGCAGAAACGACAAGTATTTTACGCTTCGCCGCAATGCTTGTCGGCATTCTGTTTAAATTTAAGATTCAGCACGATATCTTCACGAGAATTATTATTTTAACTCGTAACGAGAGTTCTAAGTTGGATGAAGCTTGAAGCTCGTTTTCAAGCAGGAAGCGATCGCACTTATCAAAGATACATTTCCTCATTTCTTCCTTTTTGAAGAAAAGTCCAATTATCCACATCGCGCGATTGTAAACCATCGATTGCCACGCATAATTATCCATCATATTCGTTTTCTCCTCGATGCTCCTCTCGTTACCGCCCAGCCATTTCGGATAATCGTACGTTAGAACTTTCTCACGCGTGTTTCGTGATACTTCTTTTCAAAATGGAAATCCATCTGAGGAAGAGAGAAAATGAGGCAAATCCTTGATGAAACTATACTTTTCAACATCTAGTTTATTATAAATTCTGAAAAAGATTTTTATTGTGTAATATTACAAAATGCATTTAGGGAATAAGATCTTTTTTTCATTTTATGTTTTAGAACAATGAGAATGACATAGTATAAAATTGTACTATATATTATTATTATGTCTTTATTCATATAGTTTATAAAAAATATATATAATATAAAGAAATAACAGTCTAAATCGAGCGATAATAAGATTTTTTATATAAAATTAATTTATATAGTTCACAATGTTAGTGTAAAAATAACATAAGAATAAAAAATATATAAGGAATATAAAAATATATATATAATAATAACGTGTTTTGAAACCTCACGGGTTTTTCTTCAGCGATTCTTGAAGATGTTACAAAGTTGTAGAGATTAATATTTCCGAGGTATCTATTGTTAGATGTTGAAAGTAAAGAATTCGTAAGTTTTAGAGCCACCGATTACGCTACCGGGCAATGCATCTTCCGATTGAAGTAGTCCTGAGGAAGAATCACGTTCCTCCGATATCCCTGCAAAAGTTTTCTCTGGCCGCTACCCAAGGCCAAAGCACTCGAAATAATGCGGCAACAATTTGTGTGGGCGTGCGGCTGGACAGTCAGCTTGGTCGCGCTGGTATCCGATGGCAGGTGGACGCCTCAAGAGGAGGTCCCTCTCTTCGCACTATATACACGAGGTAAAGGTCGCTCGCATGGGCTCGGACCCAGGATTACGGAATTGGGTTAATTAAACTGCTAAAACCGAAACGTCTGAAAATTGATTGATACTTGCGATGCAATCGTGATTTGTTCGATCAGATATTGAAATAAGAAGATAAATAAAATTACTTATATGGCGCAAGTGGTGTTTTTGGAGATTTGAAATTTGAAAGTTTTAATATATGAATCTCTTTTTTCGCAACAACAATTATCTGTTGCAAGGTTTGACGTTACAGAAAAATTCACTGTTATCACCTTATATTTAAAGATGTTGCTTTTATCAATTTTTCAGTCAATTTTGGAGTAACGAAAATTCGATGTGTGTCTTTTTGATAATGTTTATATAATACTAATGTTTGTATAATACTATATTTTTAACTAATCCTTGAGTTACAAATATGTGTGTGAAGGAGAGTCAAATCTTACATAATAGACTAACTTCTAACATGATTAATTAAATAATTAACATTTTTGGTCGATTATTAGATTTAATTGTCTCATTTACTTTTTTTTTTTTAAATCTTATTCAATCTTATTACGCTATTTTATAATTTAACGACCTAACGGATTGAAAAAATCGTATTGAGATATCAATCTTGTGCAGTTCACGTACGCAAATGCAATCCTGGCGGATGATCAACGTGTACAAATACAGAAAATATAACGTCAGCGTGGGCGAACGACATTTCTCAAACTTATAAAAACGGTACTGGATCACGACACACGTAAACACATTTGGCAGCAATGTAAACGCACGCCGGCGCTTGTCTGTGAAATTGAAATCCATTGGCGAGTCTTCAACATACCGGAACATCTATCATGTGAACATATGATCGCACATCATCGCAATTATTGTATCATGTACGATGTATAAATTTTATTTTATCGTCATTATAATATTATAATATACTTCTACACCTCCCTTACAGAAATTTAATACTGAAAGGAAATGATTAATTATTATATTTTGAGTGTTAAAAGAACCGAACAACATAGAGTGCTTTTAATATTCAAATTAAGTAATTTTCAGTATTAATTTATTGGATATTTCTGTAAGGGCTCCTCATGCATCATTAACTCCGATGTCGCCTTTCACGAGATATCTCGTCGTGTTCCTTTTAGCAAAAGATTGAATTAACTATTAAAGAAAAGTGAATGATTGCTTTAATATTGATTCATCAGCAACTTAAATTGGTGACTACTATCTTTTAAAGACCTTATTTAAAATTACTTTTTATAATGAATTTGTGTGCCAATTTGGATTTGTGATATCTAACATCAAGTAACGAAAAAAATTGTAAGGAGAGAAAATTGAAGAAAAATTAATAGTAAAATTTTATCAAAAACTATGTGCGTGGCATGAAAGATACGATATGAATATTCGTATAATATTCACATAAAATGATTTATCTTAATATGTAACATATAGAACGAAGACGAATCATCGATTCGAAGTGGGACAAAGCCACGAGTATTAATGGAATTTCCCCCAAAAATTGGCTGCCGCCCGGCAATGTAGAGTCTATCCTCTCTTCGAATACCGTTCGTCCACTTCCCCCGTTTCTCTTCTTCATCGCATGCATATTACGTGCATCCTTTGTCTTCGTCTTTGGTTCTTCCCTTCCTCTCTTTCTCTCCCTCTTTTTCTCTAATTTTTCCTCTCTCTCAAATGACGGACTCGTTACCGCTCGCTCGCTGCCCGTAAAATCGTATCTCGTGACTTCGGCCAGAAATATGCTCCGCGAACCCACCTATCCGTTCGCCTTCACCTATCGGTGCCGTTCCCAGGACGGAGGAATATCGCCCAGCCGACTGTATAGACGATTGAAAATACTCCGTTGCGGGCTTCTCTCGTTAGCGGGATTTTGAAATCCTCGCCTCGTCGCCGATGCAGCATCGCACCGCCTGGCATAACTTAGCACCTGTCGCATCGTCGCCGACGGCAGTGGAAATAGCCGTTGTGCACAGACCGGAGAGCAATCACGGTCCGAGTAGTACGAATAAGTGTGAGCGCGCCGAAATGTGCCTGCTGCTCACAGTGACAATTAAAAGAGGGGAAAAAGCTTGGCTTTTTGAATTATATGCGACCCTTATATTTCAAAGTCACTTAGATGACCTGCAATTCGCGTCATGACTTCAGGAATTGTGCTTTATATGTGTACGCTATGTATATTGATGTATATTTTTATCGACGTATGTATATTCTGATTCCTCGGATATATCTTTCGTATTACACGCGGGACACTAAATTATAATAGAATTCTATTCTGAATTCTATTATTCTGAAATAAATTATTTAAGTAGACTGTTTAGACATAGAGAGAGAAAATAAAAATATGTTTATTTTTATTTCCTTAGAGATTTCTCTGTTTAATATATTAGACGCATTTATCAATTTCTTTTCTTAATAAGTTTACTTAATTTACTACTATTATTCGTACATAGGATTAATGCATGTTTGTTTTTTATAGATGGATGTTATACTATTTAATGATTTAATGGAAATGCACATGTTGGAATTTAACATTTGAGCTAATAATTATAAGTTTACACGTATATATTTAGTTATATGTAAATTAATTAATATTGTATATTGATTGGTATAATAAATTTTCTACAAGTATGTCTAAAATATGAGGAAAAACGAGAAAAAAGGGATTTCTAAAAAGGTTTTTCAAATTGAAATAATCAGCGCTCGCAATTCCTTTTATACGAAAGCCAGCTATTTATATTCGCCGCTGTGTCCACGTATTTTCAAGAGAGATATTATATAATCCGGGAAGATCTATATCAATGTCTCCACTGGATTACAGTCCAGCTTAACCCCGATGTGTTTAGAAAACTAAGTAGCCGCAACGGTGAAAATTCGAATTCTCAACAATGTGCTGTTGAACGATGTTGAAAAATTGAGTGAAAAAATGTGCAGAGACAATCTTGTGCTAGCCAGACACACTGGGATTCTCGCACGCGTGGACAGTCCCAAGATTTTCTTGTTCCGAAGTTCCTCTCTACGACTATTTCAGTTCATAAGCTGAATCGCGGAAATAGCCTAGCCTAGCCCCTGGCCTAGAGCGTAGGCTTGACCGGCTGTAATAGCCGCTTTCTCAAGGATCCTTCGGGACGTGTCACGTTCTCGTCTCATAAATTGGAGATAGCGAGAGATTAATTTCTCGTGTCTGAATGGTATTCGTATGACGTGTTTCTTCGCTAGCAACTGTATCTGCAGTATTACGCGGATGCTGCGGTCCGTTGTAGACGTGATATATTTATCGCATAGCCGACCGACAATTGACGGACTCCCGAGGATCGCATTGTTCGCAGAAATAACCTCGTGTCTGCTGCGTCTGCCTTCGTAAAATTATTAATACTTCGCACATTCATTTTGTTCCATCTTTG